AGAACTGAAATACTGTTCAAAGCAGCGATAAACCCAACTCACTCACTCACTCACTCCTCCTATCTCAAGCTGACACTCAGTGATATAACTGAAATAATGTTCAAAGCAGCGATAAACCCAGCTCACTCACTCCTCCAACATCAAGCTGACACCCAGTGATATAACTGAAATAATGTTCAAAGCAGCGATAAACCCAACTCACTCACTCACTCCTCCCACCTCAAGCTGATACTCCGTGATATAACTGAAATAATGTTCAAAGCAGCGATAAACCCAACTCACTCACTCACTCACTCCTCCCATCTCAAGCTGACACTCAGTGATATAACTGAAATAATGTTCAAAGCAGCGATAAACCCAGCTCACTCACTCCTCCAACATCAAGCTGACACCCAGTGATATAACTGAAATAATGTTCAAAGCAGCGATAAACCCAGCTCACTCACTCCTCCAACATCAAGCTGACACCCAGTGATATAACTGAAATACTGTTCAAAGCAGCGATAAACCCAACTCACTCACTCACTCACTCATCCCATCTCAAGCTGACACTCCGTGATATAACTGAAATAATGTTCAAAGCAGCGATAAACCCAGCTCACTCACTCCTCCAACATCAAGCTGACACCCAGTGATATAACTGAAATACTGTTCAAAGCAGCGATAAACCCAACTCACTCACTCACTCCTCCCACCTCAAGCTGATACTCCGTGATATAACTGAAATACTGTTCAAAGCAGCGATAAACCCAGCTCACTCACTCCTCCAACATCAAGCTGACACCCAGTGATATAACTGAAATAATGTTCAAAGCAGCGATAAACCCAGCTCACTCACTCCTCCAACATCGAGCTGACACCCAGTGATATAACTGAAATACTGTTCAAAGCAGCGATAAACCCAGCTCACCCACTCCTCCAACATCAAGCTGACACCCAGTGATAGAACTGAAATACTGTTCAAAGCAGCGATAAACCCAACTCACTCACTCACTCACTCCTCCTATCTCAAGCTGACACTCAGTGATATAACTGAAATAATGTTCAAAGCAGCGATAAACCCAGCTCACTCACTCCTCCAACATCAAGCTGACACCCAGTGATATAACTGAAATAATGTTCAAAGCAGCGATAAACCCAACTCACTCACTCACTCCTCCCACCTCAAGCTGATACTCCGTGATATAACTGAAATAATGTTCAAAGCAGCGATAAACCCAACTCACTCACTCACTCACTCCTCCCATCTCAAGCTGACACTCAGTGATATAACTGAAATAATGTTCAAAGCAGCGATAAACCCAGCTCACTCACTCCTCCAACATCAAGCTGACACCCAGTGATATAACTGAAATACTGTTCAAAGCAGCGATAAACCCAGCTCACTCACTCCTCCAACATTAAGCTGACACCCAGTGATATAACTGAAATACTGTTCAAAGCAGCGATAAACCCAACTCACTCACTCACTCACTCATCCCATCTCAAGCTGACACTCCGTGATATAACTGAAATAATGTTCAAAGCAGCGATAAACCCAGATCACTCACTCCTCCAACATCAAGCTGACACCCAGTGATATAACTGAAATACTGTTCAAAGCAGCGATAAACCCAACTCACTCACTCACTCCTCCCACCTCAAGCTGATACTCCGTGATATAACTGAAATACTGTTCAAAGCAGCGATAAACCCAACTCACTCACTCCTCCAACATCAAGCTGACACCCAGTGATAGAACTGAAATACTGTTCAAAGCAGCGATAAACCCAACTCACTCACTCACTCACTCCTCCTATCTCAAGCTGACACTCAGTGATATAACTGAAATAATGTTCAAAGCAGCGATAAACCCAGCTCACTCACTCCTCCAACATCAAGCTGACACCCAGTGATATAACTGAAATACTGTTCAAAGCAGCGATAAACCCAACTCACTCACTCACTCCTCCCACCTCAAGCTGATACTCCGTGATATAACTGAAATAATGTTCAAAGCAGCGATAAACCCAACTCACTCACTCACTCACTCCTCCCATCTCAAGCTGACACTCAGTGATATAACTGAAATAATGTTCAAAGCAGCGATAAACCCAGCTCACTCACTCCTCCAACATCAAGCTGACACCCAGTGATATAACTGAAATACTGTTCAAAGCAGCGATAAACCCAGCTCACTCACTCCTCCAACATTAAGCTGACACCCAGTGATATAACTGAAATACTGTTCAAAGCAGCGATAAACCCAACTCACTCACTCACTCACTCATCCCATCTCAAGCTGACACTCCGTGATATAACTGAAATAATGTTCAAAGCAGCGATAAACCCAGATCACTCACTCCTCCAACATCAAGCTGACACCCAGTGATATAACTGAAATACTGTTCAAAGCAGCGATAAACCCAACTCACTCACTCACTCCTCCCACCTCAAGCTGATACTCCGTGATATAACTGAAATACTGTTCAAAGCAGCGATAAACCCAGCTCACTCACTCCTCCAACATCAAGCTGACACCCAGTGATATAACTGAAATACTGTTCAAAGCAGCGATAAACCCAGCTCACTCACTCCTCCAACATCAAGCTGACACCCAGTGATAGAACTGAAATACTGTTCAAAGCAGCGATAAACCCAGCTCACTCACTCACTCACTCCTCCCATCTCAAGCTGACACTCAGTGATATAACTGAAATAATGTTCAAAGCAGCGATAAACCCAGCTCACTCACTCCTCCAACATCAAGCTGACACCCAGTGACATAACTGAAATACTGGCTAAAGCAGCGATAAACCCAACTCACTCACTCACTCCTCCCACCTCAAGCTGATACTCCGTGATATAACTGAAATACTGTTCAAAGCAGCGATAAACCCAGCTCACTCACTCACTCACTCCTCCCATCTCAAGCTGACACTCAGTGATATAACTGAAATAATGTTCAAAGCAGCGATAAACCCAGCTCACTCACTCCTCCAACATCAAGCTGACACCCAGTGATATAACTGAAATAATGTTCAAAGCAGCGATAAACCCAGCTCACTCACTCCTCCAACATCAAGCTGACACCCAGTGATATAACTGAAATACTGTTCAAAGCAGCGATAAACCCAACTCACTCACTCACTCACTCATCCCATCTCAAGCTGACACTCCGTGATATAACTGAAATAATGTTCAAAGCAGCGATAAACCCAGCTCACTCACTCCTCCAACATCAAGCTGACACCCAGTGATATAACTGAAATACTGTTCAAAGCAGCGATAAACCCAACTCACTCACTCACTCCTCCCACCTCAAGCTGATACTCCGTGATATAACTGAAATACTGTTCAAAGCAGCGATAAACCCAGCTCACTCACTCCTCCAACATCAAGCTGACACCCAGTGATAGAACTGAAATACTGTTCAAAGCAGCGATAAACCCAGCTCACTCACTCACTCACTCCTCCCATCTCAAGCTGACACTCAGTGATATAACTGAAATAATGTTCAAAGCAGCGATAAACCCAGCTCACTCACTCCTCCAACATCAAGCTGACACCCAGTGACATAACTGAAATACTGGCTAAAGCAGCGATAAACCCAGCTCACTCACTCACTCCTCCCACCTCAAGCTGATACTCCGTGATATAACTGAAATACTGTTCAAAGCAGCGATAAACCCAGCTCACTCACTCACTCACTCCTCCCATCTCAAGCTGACACTCAGTGATATAACTGAAATAATGTTCAAAGCAGCGATAAACCCAGCTCACTCACTCCTCCAACATCAAGCTGACACCCAGTGATATAACTGAAATAATGTTCAAAGCAGCGATAAACCCAGCTCACTCACTCCTCCAACATCAAGCTGACACCCAGTGATATAACTGAAATACTGTTCAAAGCAGCGATAAACCCAACTCACTCACTCACTCACTCATCCCATCTCAAGCTGACACTCAGTGATATAACTGAAATAATGTTCAAAGCAGCGATAAACCCAGCTCACTCACTCCTCCAACATCAAGCTGACAGCCAGTGACATAACTGAAATACTGGCTAAAGCAGCGATAAACCCAACTCACTCACTCACTCACTCCTCCCACCTCAAGCTGATACTCCGTGATATAACTGAAATACTGTTCAAAGCAGCGATAAACCCAGCTCACTCACTCCTCCAACATCAAGCTGACACCCAGTGATAGAACTGAAATACTGTTCAAAGCAGCGATAAACCCAACTCACTCACTCACTCACTCCTCCCATCTCAAGCTGACACCCAGTGATATAACTGAAATAATGTTCAAAGCAGCGATAAACCCAACTCACTCACTCCTCCAACATCAAGCTGACACCCAGTGATAGAACTGAAATACTGTTCAAAGCAGCGATAAACCCAACTCACTCACTCACTCCTCCCACCTCAAGCTGATACTCCGTGATATAACTGAAATACTGTTCAAAGCAGCGATAAACCCAGCTCACTCACTCCTCCAACATCAAGCTGACACCCAGTGATATAACTGAAATACTGTTCAAAGCAGCGATAAACCCAACTCACTCACTCACTCCTCTTGTCGGTTTCAAATTAAATGTGGCTTTTTCTATGATGTACGGAAGCCTTTTGAGGGCTGTATTTTTTTTGGAAATTTCAACAAAGCATCTTGAAACTTCAACTTAGCATCTTGAAATTTCAACTTAATATCCTAATAATAAGTTAAAATTTCAAGATACTAAATTTAAATTTCAGGTCATACTCTAAAAAATTCAACTTAGTATGTATCTTGCAATTTCAAGTTAGTATTTTGAAATTTCAAGAAAAGAAAAACAAATTACCGTAAAAGTCTTCCGTAATAATGACTTTTCGTGTCATAATTCTGTATTAATGATATACGTGGGCTTGGGCCAATGGTCAACTCAAAGAAAGGAGATGATCCTCAATGAACCTTGAGTATTTTAACACAATCATTATCATCAGCGAAACTAAGACAAACAGATGTATATATCTTACCCCGGCTTCAGCAAAATTTCCCTTTACACGTGAAAACCAGTAGCACGATTCGCCATGATGATGAAAACCAACTGGGCATGCACCTGTGTTATTAAAACATTGTATTTTATAAATTATCAACAGGAAGCATACATATTACAGGAATAGCAATATCACCGCGAGGGACACCAGAAATGGGCTTCGCACATTGTACCCATGTCGGGAATCGAACCCGGGTCATCGGCGTGACGAGCGAACGCTTCAACCACTAGGCTACCCGACCGCCTCTATTACATGAGGGGGCACGGGTGGCCCAGTCGTCTAAGGCGCCGCGATTCGCTGTGCAGAGTAGCGTCCCTTGGGCACGCCAGAAACCTATGATTGTGGGTTCGAATCCCGGTTCGCCCCAATAATGTTTCTAGGTTTGTCAGCACCATACCCGTGCTCGTGGGTTTTACCGAAGTGGTAAACGTCTGAGACCTGCATAATTTCGGGCTTTCCTCCCACATTAAGTTGACACGCCGCGATATAACTGGAATACTGTTAAAAGCCGCGTTAAACCCAACTCACTCACTCACTCTATTACATAAATAAGAAGATACAAGACCTACCTTCAGCAAGTGTGCAGCATGTAACGAGCAGCATAAGGCAGACAAACGTTCCCATCTTGATGACAACAGCGTTCAATTCATGTGACTATCGCCGGCAGCTACAGCCAGGTACTTTGCGAGCCTCTTTTATAGTGACGATACTTGTATTGCGTTTGATCACACGTTGCAGAACGTGGCAGATGTACATGCACGCGCGAAACAGCAGGGCGGGGCATTCACGATCAGCTCATTGAGTGGGCGAACTTCATTTTACGGCGCAATATTCCAGCTGTATTGGCCTACAATAGTTAAGCCTGAGTCAGCATGAGGACGATCCATGCTCACAGGACACGGCCCCGGAAACACTAACGACGGTTCAAGTCGTACGGTACACACATATGCGATATCAGCAACTTTGCAACTGTCTGAAGTGGGTGAGTTAGTGAGTGAGTTAAGATTTAACGTCACATCGGCAATATTTCAGCCATATAGTGACGAGATCTTTTTTTACATCAATAATTAATACAGTTTGACAATATAAAAACCTGTCGACAAAGGTCAGTAAAACAAACTAGACTATCACAGATATGAATATAAAAATATGAATGTGAATGAATATAAATATAACTAAAAAAATATGTAACAATACACAAGATATGATACAAAAAGCAACTGATCGCCAACCAATAAAGGTAGATCACCATACTGGGGCCATGGGGACTTACAGTACATTTGCTACCTGCATGGACCCCAGCAGGATTTATACAATATCCTCAGTCGCTGGCGATTGTACGCATTTTTAGCCAGAATTAAAAGGACAAATATTCTACGTTTATAACACGAGGAGATATAAATATTCATTGAATAAACAGAGACTTACAATATCCTCTCAGGGGGATTATAATTTTACACTACTTTAACCCCCTCCGAGGATAGAGCCAATAACAATCTCAGATATAAATGTATTCCACCTAAATTTTAAAATGTTTTTGAACAAGACATATCAACATAATTGCAAATTGTTATACAATTCTATTTCTTTTTTAAACAAAACAAGAATTAGATAAAAACTAATGCTTTTAAAAAGATCCTTTGTCGAAGAAACTTTGAAATACTTATTCCTTGTGATTGAAAAATCAACACAGTCAAGCAGGATATGCTTGATGGTTATTCTCTCATCACAAGGGATCGAAGAGCACCTGTTTTCAGATTTGTGTCAGCAGCACAAAAAACAAATGTTACACTTTGAAATCGTTACCCAAAATAATTTTTTTAAAGTTCTTTAATAGTGTGTTCTTATTTCAATGGTTTGTATAGTTACACGATCTTTTGTTAATTTACAGGTTGACCCGCCTACTGGTGTCACAATTGTCGTTGAGTTGGTTCGATGTTGTTTGATTGTGACATTTCCTTGACCCTTTTCGCGAACACCTGGTGACATAACTTATATCCAATGGTTCATACATATAATTTTCACAGCTGTTTTTGTTTGTTTGATAAACGTTATGGGTGATTAAGAAAAATAGTGCTGCAATATGATTGCTTACATTTAAATTTCCCGTAACTTCGCCACTGATCACATAGAAAGCTGTAATTCAATACGGTTGGTATTATAAGAAAACTTGCAACAAGAGGATCGTCCGTAGGGATGTCTCCACTACTTGGATAAGGTGGTTGGGCGTGGCGGCGTGGTTGACTGCATGCCAATTCAATTCTTTATTTCTGTACTTGATGCCAGTAGTCCACATACAAGAATTATATATATGGTATAACTGCAATAATGAATTGTTTGCATGTCATTCCAGTTGGAATGAGTTGGATTTAACGCAGCTTTAAACACTATTTCAGTACTATCAGCATAGGGTGGTAGGAAATTCTGGACGCTTAATGTACAGACCGCCTCCGTGGTCTAATGGTAGAGCGTCCGCCCGGAGAGCGGAAGGTCCGGGGGTCGATCCCCAGACGCGTCATACCAAAAGACGTTAAAAGAATGTACTTGTTGTTACCCTGTCTGGCGCTCGGCATTAAGGGGATAAAACAAGGACTGGTCGGCTCGGAGTCAGTATACTGTGTCTGAGTGGGGTATTCATGTTCAACTGCGGCATGGTATCTCAGTGTGCTAGCACTATAAATTGGCATCAGTCCGGACTAGTACAAGCAGCCACACACACACATACACGTGCATGCACGTCGCTATATAAGTGCAATAATCTTGGACGCGACGTTCAACCCCATTTCACCTCACCTCATCTTAATGTACAGGTTTGACAAACCAAGGATTTACATTATCTGAGCGAATGTGGGCTTCGAACTAACTACACCTGCCTCTCTGCATATGATATCAATCACTGGTTTGTCTGGCGCAGGCTCAATAATTAACAGGCCGCCAGAATACTGCTGCATGGAACCTCAGTACGCGTAGGTAAGTATAATTGCTACTAATATCCCCTACGTAAAGTACATAAACTGATGGGATAAAGAAAGTATAGACTTGAAAATTAGATTTTTAAATGACAAACGTTATCAAAATCCTACTAGTTGGAAAACAGTTGCCGAAACACGGCAAACTTAAGGTCCAAAAACACAACAATGATACCCGCATCAAATACATCGCCATCGAAAAAACACTTCTTGTTTGTTTCATGCCCAGCCACTATCAAAGATGGGCTTAACTTTCTTCTTTTGCCCGGCGGTGTGTAAGCAAAAACTCGTACAACCGAGTGTGTTTTAACCAGAGATTTCTTTGGAAAATGGAAGGGGTCGCTTTTATTTATTATGGTATTTTTCACAATGTCACTACTATAAGTTTTTATTGGCAATGTATCGGCTTATACTGATACATGATTTTATATTATCAGAAATCGATCTAAGCAAACAAACCTTTTCCACTCTACAACACAAAAATCATTGATTCAGGTAGCGTCACGCGGTGTTAGCTAACGTGAAAGTGTCAGTGACGTCAAGCGTCCAGGTGTCGTGTGAAATGGTAATAGGCTTAACTGAAAAATCGCCATGATAGCTACCAGCGTGCAGGATCTGATAGCCATCAACTGTGGACGTGAGGACCTAATGGGCCAGTCACGCAGAAACTGTTTTTTGACACACCATCTATCTCTCATAGACAGCTGGGCCCCCGAATGCCGGATACAGAGGGGCGGGGTGTGAGGCAGAACACCGAGGTGAAAATGCGCATATCGAGTAAACTGAGAATACTCTAGGTTGATCAACAAATGCTTCATCAAATATCAGTTATTGTTTAATATCTCTCTCTCTCTCTCTCTCTCTCTCTCTCTCTCTCTCTCTCTCTCTCTCTCTCTCTCTCTCTCTCTCGGTCTTTCGGTCTCTCTCTCTCTTTCTCTCTCTCACTTTTTTTCTCTCTCGGTCTTTCGGTCTCTCTCTCTCTCTCACGGTCTTTCGGTCTCTCTCGCTCTCTCTTTATCTCGGTCTCTCTCTCTCTCTCTCTCTCTCTCTCTCTCTCTCTCTCTCTCTCTCTCTCTCTCTCTCTCTCTCTCCAAAAGTCAAATGATATAATTTACTGTATAATTCGATCAACCGGATCTTTCAAGTGTATCTTAAATTAAGTTGAATGGGTCAAATATCAATTCACTCGATATTGAGATGGCGACTGATAAGAGTCTGTTCAGGTTCAGCCAACGTGGTCGGTGGCTTATGAAGTCCTGAAAGACAAAACATCGACCCACACGCCTTGCCAACGAGACAACAAACGGTGTGAGTATGTTGTCACGACAGTACTGTTCATTAACCCCTCCTTGTACAATAAGGAATGGGGCTCGATCAGTTTTAGTGATAGCTATAACCGATCCACCATAATCTGTCATGAGGCCTCAGGCTGACGTTGGCTTGACGTTCATGTCGACGTTGCCGGGCACGAGCACGCCAATCAAGGACGTGCAAATTGTATAGGGAGCAATATTTCAGCAATATCACGGCGGGGGACACCAGAAATAGGCTTCACACATTGTACCCATGTGGGGAATCGAACCCGGGCCTTCGGCGTGACTTGCAAACACTTTAACCACAAGGCTACCCCAACCCCTATAATCCCGGGCCGCGTCATACAAAAAGACGTTAAAAGATTGTACTTGTTGTTACCCTGTCTGGCGCTCGGCATTTAGGGGTTAAAACAAGGACTGGTCGGCTCGGAGTCAGTATACTGTGTCTGAGTGGGGTATTCATGTTAAACTGCGGCATGGTATCTCAGTGAGCTAGCACTATAAATCGGCATCAGTCCGGACTAGTACAAGCAGCCACACACACACATACACGTGCATGCACGTCGCTATATAAGTGCAATAATCTTGGACGCGACGTTAAACCCAATTTCACCTCACCTCACCCAACCCCTATATATTTATAAGACAAAGAAACAAAGCCTCAAACACGTATTTATTTTTTTATCACACTTCCGGTTATAAAGTTACAATGATGACAACATAAAACAGCAGTAAGAATGGGACATCTCATCTTCCCGGGACAAGGGAGTTAATTGACTTTAAAAGTCCAATTTCCACCCTTGCCGAACTAGGCTGGAATTCTGGATTTACATTTTGGCTGGACTGACGAGTCTATGCATAGTCCAATCAAAATCACGCAAAGAACTAGACATTTTGATCGACTTCAGGATTTGCAAAGCATGTGTAACCTCAACTGGACGTCGACAAATATTTCTTTAATCATGTTTTTAATCAAGGTGCCAAATGATTTGATGCACTTCGTGAGGTAAGGCCCATTTTATTTTAATATAGATGTTGATTATTGATCAGATCGTCTTGACTGGGCGCCGCCATTTTGTTTGAAGCAAATGTAAGGGATGTGAGAAATGGAATCTGATAAAAGAGGGATAGAAGGGACATAACTCCTAATGGCAACGATCGAGCCTGGAACTTTGTAGTCAGTTAACTCCCTTGCCTCGGGAAGATGGGGACATCAAGGGTTAATGGTTGTCAATCAAGACACCAAGTCTGAGACGAGTCTCAGCACTAATCCCATCGAGTGTGTGAGTGAGTTGGGTTAAACGCCGCTTTTAACAGTATTCCAGTTATATCACGGCGTGTCAGCTTAATGTGAGAGGAAAGCCCGAAGTGATGCAGGTCTCAGACGTTTACCACTTCGGTGAAACCCACGAGCACGGGTAAGGTGCTGACAAACCTAGAAACATAATCTTGGCGAACCGGGATTCGAACCCACAATAATAGGTTTCTGGCGTGCCTAAGGGACGCAACTCTGCA